ACACAACTACGGTGTAATTATGCAATGAATGAAACACTTGGGTCACAGGTTTCTCAACAGTGCATTACAAGACATCTATCAATATGTGTGTACCTCCACCATTAAACTGTCATATTCTGCACATTTCTTATTCTATCTACATACATAAGAGTATAATTCATATGTATAATATCAGTTAAAATAAGTGCTTCAACATAGTTAACATTGCAGGAAAGCAATATATTAGACGTTAAGTACTTTGTCAAGCTTAATATTTATCTGTAGATAGATACCCCCAACGTTTTTTTTGCACACAAGGTACACACAGCCATAATAACTTTGTATTATTAGTGTAGGACACTTTTGTTTTCGTACAACATCTGAAAATGTGTAGTTTTAAGCATGCTTTCACATAATTTTACAGCATATTGCTATACTATTTCAGACTCAGTATTTACATTCTTACATTCAAAGAAAATCAGCTGCCCCCCCACTGTAGAGCCTTGCCCCCCCAGCTGCCCCCCTAACTTTTGTTTCCCTAAAACTGTACTAAAACAAACCTACACTATTTCCAAAAGCTTCTCAAGCAACAAAACAAGCATTACATTAGTTAAAAGTGAATCATTTTAAATATCATTTTAGGCCCGTTAAAAACGCAGCTACGGCCCTGCATTAAACTGCGGAGTGGCGTTCACACAGACCGCGGCTCACACCGCTGCAGAGAGGGAGCGAGCTGTCCCAGCACCTATGGATCAGCTTCCCCTTGGAGCATTTCCCTTTCCACTAGTTTTGTTTTTACTAAGGACGAGAGCTTGAAACTAAATATTAATAAAACGCTTTAGTTTGAATCGATAGCGTTTAACAGACGGGCGCTGTTTGGGGCGTTACGTTACAAAATACTACGCAGACAGCGTTAGCTGGCAGATCGATCACTTTGCTAAACTACGCGGTAGCCTACTATTAAATCCACGTAAACTACACATCACAGCCATGAGGCCAGATCAATGAAACCAGGATACATCCTTTACCGTAAAAACTGGATCCAAACACAGCTGCCTGTGTGCGCTTGATCAATACTTTCTGATGTTATATTTATGATATGCTACATATTAGCTAGGCTACATGGCCCTAACTTGTAAAGTTATACAAGCATTTGTACCAGTGCTTTTCACAAGTAGACTCTTGCAGGCCAGAGTATAGGAGTGATTCAACAACAACAAAAAGACATATGAGAAGTGATCAGGACAAACAGAAAGAGGAAAAGGAAAAGAGAGATGAAAGGACCAGGAGGGTCAGAGCAGGAGGAAGAGGAGGAGATGAAGAGACCAGGAGGAAGAGGAGGAGATGAAGACATTAGTGAAGAAGAAGAAATATATGTGAGGAATAAAGATGAAGTATCAGAAAGAGGGCCAGAGGCAGGGATCAGGAGGCAGATGAAACTCCAGCTGGACCACATGGTATGTTCTTATTCTCCTTACATATTCCATTACAGCAGCACAATCTAGCAGCTCTTAGTATTGACAAATATTGATTGAAATGTGTTGCTGCACAGGTCACCTGTAGCTCTCTGAAGAGATGGGTGATGTCATTTGTGTACTTAATTATAATTAAGTACTTACAGTATGCAGAATTCTGAGTATTCTCTGAATCGGGTGCCTTTTGGGTCTTTATATCTTTGAAAAATGAAACCAAAATGTTTGGTCATAACATCTGGTAGTAGACTACTTACATTTTCCCACCTCAGGCACAAAATATAAATAATTACTAGGAATTTCCTTGAAAAAATGTAACATGGTTGAAGTTTTTGACAAAAAGTAGGCATGAGAACCTTGTTTAGCTAAGATATGGCACCACATGGAAGTCAAGGACATTACAAAATTGTAATATTTTGCAAAACTATTGTTTATTTGTGTAATAAACAATTATTTACTATTATTAATTCATACAACAGAGTTGAAATGTTGAGCTTGTCAATCTTAATCTGAAAATACAAAAACTGAAATATAGGTAAGAGAAGAAACTGACACTTTTGTGATGTAATTCCCTCAATGCAGATCACACATGGACTGATCCATTATTTTAATAGGAGGGTAAATGGTATGGCGTGACGGGGTTGAAACAAACTGAGGGACAATATTGCAATTTCATAGATAATTCAAGTATTTTTTCAGAATTGATTTTTGATCAGTTAAAGTTGACAAGCATATGATTATATTTGCAGCAACATTTTGGGATAATTGGCCATTTTGATTTGTTTAATATTAAATTAATATGTAATAATGCTTAGTGAGGACATGCAAATATGTCTGTCTAAGACAACCAATTGTTGTGTCTGTCTAAAACAAAATATATATTTAATTTTACATTGTAATGCAAAACAACCTGTTCCATTAATTCATTGCTTTAAAATACATTTTGTAGTTTCCTTTCATTTAAAATGGTTGAGGTAAGCTTGGGGGACTCAAAGGGCACCCGATTGTTTGTCTGAACACCTTGTTTCTCTTGTGCATTAAAGAACACTTGTGTTAGGGCATGAATTAACAATAAATAGGTTAAAATACCACGTACTGTCCGCCCTCCTATGCCACCCTGGCATGACCTCTTGCCTCCCCTTTGCCCCCCCATGTAAAATGTTCTAGAACCACCACTGTGTAAATATAACCTATCTGTGAATTATATCAAATGTAAAAGTCAGCCGAATTAGTGTTGATACTGCAAGGAGACGTATTGTGTGAAGAGAAATTGAAGATTTTGTTTAATTGTTGAATATATTTATGATCCACGTCAAGTATTCAGTTTCGGCGGCATTTTCTCAGTTTTTTCCAAAGGTCTTCTAATCAGGGCTTTATAAATAAAGAACTACGGCAGATCTGTAATATACAATGCAGCCGAACCGTGTATTACAATGCCGTTATGTGATGACTTTCAAAGAGAAAAGCAAGAGCGCTCGGAATTAAGTATTATTTTATTCTTTTAAAATGTTTTCCGGATTTTATATCATATAAACACCAAATCCCAGCATGCATTGCGGCTAAAACATCCAATAAGCGAGCTTAAAACCATAACTGAGGATCTTGGGTAATCGCTCGAAATGCCTACGTCTGTTTCCGGTTATTTTGAAATTCAGTTCCTGACGGACGCCAAAAAAGCCCAAGATTATGGAATTAAACCAATAAATAAAATCAAGGATAATTGTGTGTTATTGGTGAGTAAATAACAGTGTGTTATTTTGAAAAGAATAACAAATTAGAAGGAAAAAAAGATTTTAAAAATACAGATTTCAGTATCCTGAGGCTCTGAGCCCCATTTATTTTCCTCACAGACGGCAACAAAAGTCCGAAATTATACGATTTCAAATAAAAGCAATAACTGTGGCTTGATATTGAGTAAGAACATGTTTTTATGAACCACACAGCTTCCGGTCTTCCTCGACCCGACCGGAGAAAAAGACGTGCTGCAGGCAGTAGAAATACATTGCTTTTAAAATCGTGCTGTGCAACACGAAAAAAAGGGGCAAATCGTGTTGATTAAATAGATTAAAAATAGTGTTGGTGAACACGAAATGCCGTGAGACTGGGTTGTATATTTATATAGAGAAGCCAAGAGTGTGCAAAGCTGTCATCAAGGCAAAAGGGGGCTAATTTGAAGAATCTAAAATATAAATCATATTCTGGATTTTGTAACACTTTTTTGTTTACTAGATAATTACATGTGTTTTTTTTTATATAGTTTTGATCCCTTCAGTATTAATCTACAATGTAGAAATTATTAAAATAAATAAAAACCTTCGAATGAGAAGGTGTGTCCAAACGTTTGACTGGTACTGTATATATAGTTGCAACCGGCCCTTTGAGTGTAACCATAATGCTAATGTGGCCCGCGATGACATTTAGTTTAACACCCCTGATCTAAGTGTATTGTAATTGCTTAAAAACCTGATATATGACTTGTTTTAGTTGTCAGCAAAAGAAAAGTACACATTAGTTCCCAATTGGCTTCTATGCAATGGCCTTGTAGAGGGTAACGGGGTACAGAGTCGCTTAGATAAGCGGGGGAGTGCATCTGACGAAGAGATAGGTTGTTGTGCTCCCTATCTCTGTTTCTGATCCTATATCTAATATAACTGCTCGGGTCTTGATAGATTGAGTGAGGAAGTTCATGAGATCTTTTTAGAGGGTTATCAAGAATAACTTTTATCCAATGACCTTTTCCCTCTCTGTCTGTGTCTGTGTATTCTCTTGTTCCGATTAACCCAGACAAATCTTTTTTCTTGTTTTGTATCTATATCTACGCCGGGAACCGGAGTCGAGGCTGATCCTCTTGCTGTAGTCCTGTGTCTTGGATCCTCTATCCTGAGTTCTGGATTAAGTCGTGGACTTCGGGTCGTGGCTGAACCTGTCTCTGCGGTCCTGCCTTGGGTCTCGTCATGCTGCTTCCCTGATGGCTTCCACAGGATTGTAGCTGACATCCTCGTGGATTCATCTTCTTATTACAGACACATGCATTTCCTAACATTCGGTCTATATGCTGTAAAATGTATTATCTCTTCAATTTACACACAGCATCTATTGCACGTCTGTCCGTCCTGGGAGAGGGATCCCTCCTCTGTTGCTCTCCCTGAGGTTTCTCCCATTTTTTCCCTTTAAACTGTGGGTTTTTTATTCGATATGTTGACTAGATATTAGACAAATATACTTGGCAACATTCTGAGTCTTTGTAGTGAAGAGGCAGGTATAAGGATCAACAAATGAAAGCTTTAGCGCAAGTTCAATAAGGAAGACCTAACACGAGTCACTTACACGTCACTCTATGGCTCCCTTCCCCCCTCATTAAATACGAGGGCGTCACCCCTCAGCAGCCAATCGCTGCACATGCTAAATTCCTTAAATGCCTGCTCTTCCTCCCTGTCAGTTGTCATTGCAGATGATCACACGCAGTAGCAGTACTTCTTTACTCCTCCTCGTGAGAAAAAAAAAAAAAAACCTAGCTCAAGATGTCCAACTCGGACAATTCAGACGAACCTGGTATGGAAATCTTTGATCCCGGTTCGGCTCCCCACAGCGGCCTATCATCAGAGGCAGACTTCCTCATCGCCCGACTCCTGCAGCAGGGCATCCCCACAGCCCCAGGCCTCACTCTCTCGCAGCTTCGAGAGCTCTCGGATCAGGTCTCCAGCACAGCTCCCCAGCCCGGGGCAGCAGCCCCAAGCAGCTCCCCAGAGAGACCAGGGCGAGGACGCGGCCGCAGCCGCGGAGGAAAAAATGGCAGGAAATCGAGCCCTCCAGGACCCCGTCCGCCTCCCAAATCCACCCTTTCTCAGGCTCGCCAGGCCGGGAGTGGGGAGAGTAGCGTGGCCGGCGCCCTGCAATCCCTGGATAGCTCCATAAGAGCCATTGATGCTCGCCTCCAGGCCCTGGAAGACTCCGGCACAGGAGCGTCAACTTCTGTCGCACTCAGAGCAGCGCTCGCTGCCTCAGTCCCGCTGGGGTTGCCAGGTCAGGGTTTTCCACGCATCCCAGCGGCAGCTCCTCCTTATTCTCTGGCTTCGGCCCTCCCAGCCCCCCCTGCAGGTAGGCCTTTTATTTCCCAAGCCGCTAACATCTCCTCACGGCTTAGGTCGAAAGTTCTTGAAGGGAAGGATGTTAACTTGCTTAGCCTTATCCTGCCCTCCCCGGAGTGCGATAAAGCCATCGCCTCAGGAGGAGACATCACCGCCGTCTTTAAGACCGCAGACCCCAGGCTTATCAAAGACATCAGCGTAGGGCAATTCATGGTAGCTTTCGGCATCTTCCGTGACGTCATCTGCTCCGTCTACCCTGAGAGAAGAGTAGAATTAGATGCGTACATGGCCATTATCAGAGATATCAACCTTAGATACGGGAGATCCATCTTTTATCAGTACCATAAAAGCTTTTCTAGTAAAGCAGCGCTTCACCTAGCGCATAACAACATCCGCCTCGACTGGTCAGTGATGGACATCGAGCTGCTCGTGATGGCTACCGGCGGGCAAACCGCTATTTCTTGCAACAGCTGCGGAGCGCAGGGCCACATCGCTGCCCTCTGCCCCTCAGTGCCTTTCTCCGCGCCCAGAGCCTCCCACATGCAGTATACTAGAATTGATAGACCAAACCGTCAGGTGCAAATGAGACACGAAGATAACATCTGCGCTAGATTCAACGAAAATGTTTGTACTCACCCTTATTGTTCATTTCTCCATATCTGCAGTTTCTGCAGGGATGCACACCCGAAGTCCGTGTGCCCCAGGCGCAGCCAAAACCTTTCAGTAGCTCTGCGCCAGAAACCTCGTGGTGGAAAAACATTCTGAAACATCACCCCTCCACTCCCATTAACATCCCTCAGCTAGCAGCTGCGCTATCCACCCACCCAGATTCCGTTTTCGTGGACTATCTCCTGTCAGGGCTCTCCCAAGGCTTCAGGGTAGGGGTCCTCTCATCTCCCACAGTTACTTTCGTAGCAAAAAACCTACAGTCAGCCGCTAAAGAACCCACCATAGTTTCCCAGCTCATCGACAAAGAACTCCACAAAGGATACATAATCGGTCCCTTTAGCTCCTCCCCCTTCCCAGTGTTCCGTTCAAATCCCATCGGAATAGCCACACGCAAATACTCTGGAAAAAAAAGGCTGATTTTCGATCTGTCCGCTCCCCGTTCCGGCCCATTTTGCAGCGTCAATAGTATCATCCCTCCAGAGCAGTTTTCCCTTCACTATGCCTCAGTGGACAATGCAATTAAATTGATTAAGTTCACAGGGCACGGAGCGTGGCTCTCCAAAGCGGACATTACCGATGCCTTCAAAATCAATCCCATTCACCCGTCCCAGTGGAACCTGTTCGGCATTAAGTGGGAGTCCAAACTCTATTTCGCCGTTCGCCTGACCTTCGGGTGCAGAAGCAGCCCCTGCATCTTCAACTCCTTCTCGGAAGCGCTCTGCTGGATCCTGCTGAACATCGCCAGAATCCCCTCTGTCCTTCACCTACTGGACGACTTCCTCCTCATAGACCCGCCACAGGACAGCTCAGGGACCTCACTGGGCAAACTGAAACACTGCTTCCAGGAGTTAGGCGTCCCCCTCTCCAATGAGAAAACGTTAGGTCCCAACACATGCTTAGTGTTCTTAGGCATCACCCTCGACTCTATAGACATGAAGGCGTCTCTCCCCTCCGACAAATTGCAGCGCATCTGGGACATCACCAAATCATACTGCGAGCAACAAATCATTACAAAACAACAGTTGCTCTCCCTTCTCGGACACCTCAACTTCACCATGCGAGTCATCCCCCAGGGGCGCTCGTTCATCTCCCGCCTCCTGGACACAGCATCAGCGGTCGACAATCTCCATGACTGCGTTCTCTTAGACGAAGGCTGCCGCTCAGACCTACGTTTCTGGTCTCTTCTGCTCGCCCACTGGAACGGAGTCACATTCTTCTATGACGACCTTGTGTGTTCCTCCGATTCAATGAGGTTTTTCACGGATGCCACCCCATCCGTGGGTTTTGGGGGCTTCTTTCAGGGCGAGTGGTTCGCAGGGTCTTGGCCCCCGTCATTCCCTAATCATGCCTCATCCTCCGCTCTGCACGAGATATTTCCGATCGCCGTTGCATGCCACGTATGGGGTCACCAGTGGTTCCGTAAACGCATCTCGGTGCTGTGCGATAACCAATCAGTGGTTGAGATCATCAATAAGGCGCGCTCCCAGTACAGCGACATCATGCCATTCATGAGAAGCATTACGCGGTCCTCCATTATCCACAACTTCATCATCACAGCTCGTCACATTCCCGGTCACATCAATGTCATCGCTGACTCCCTCTCTCGCTTTCATTTCCAGACATTCCGGAGCCTCTGCCCGGAAGCCAGCTCGCAACCAGTCGGAATCCCTTCACTTCATCTCCTCTCTCTGCACTAACCGAGAGTCCCCTAGCTCGGCACCTCGAGTCGGCCAGATTCTTCATGAGAAAGGGCTTAGCCGCTTCCTCCCTCAGATCTTATGATTTCGCATGGAGAACGTTCGCTTTTTTCTGCCGCTCAGTAGATGTCCCCCTCAAACCTGTCCTCATCTCCACCGTGTGCGCCTTTATGGGCTACTGCACCACTGATTGACACCTCAAACCCCAGTATATCCGGAGCCTCCTAGCAGGAATTCAATTTAACGTTCGATGCTCCGATGCTAGCTTTCCCAGCCTATTCTCAAACCCTACTGTTAAACTCATCCTTAAAGGGCTGTATAAGACGTTTCCCCCCGCTGCAGACCCGAGGCTCCCTATCACGCTCCCTGTCCTGCGTCTCATGCTGTCCACACTCAGGAAAGGATGATTCTCCCCCTATCTCGACGCGCTGCTTGATGCCGTATTCCTACTAGCCTTCTATGCGCTCCTCCGACCTGGCGAATTCACCACAGCTTCCCTCATGTTCGACCCCAGTCAAGACGTCTGCCTCTCCGACCTAGTCTTCAACACCAACCACTTTAGTCTCAGCCTCAAACACTCCAAATGCGGAGGAGCCTGCTCAGTCATCGCAGCTCGCATCGATTCCCCGTTCTGCCCTTTTAATTCCATGATTAAATTCCTGCGCTGCAGACCCCCCACCAATCCGTCCTCACCACTTTTTCTCATCAAAGGAAATGCGCCCCTAACGCTGCGCCTGTTCACTTTCTACCTCAAGCAAGTCCTCACTAAGTCCGGCCTATCACCTACATCCTACTTAGGACATTCCTTTAGGATAGGTGCAGCCACCTCAGCTGCTAATCAAGGTCTCTCCACCTCATCCCTTCAACAACTAGGACGGTGGTCCTCCTCCGCCTTCGCAACCTACATTCGCCCGGACATCAGCACCGTACTGGCTTCCCAAAGATCTCTCGGACCCTAATTATGGTATTTATGCATATAACTGGTGGTGGCTCATAAACACATTCATAAGTATACATGTCTCACTAAGGTACCTGATATCCAAACTGCATTCCCGTCCTAGTCCGCGGGCCCCGCCCACAGGGAATAACGTCTCGTCTCACGCGCACCTACACGTAACGGGCTTCATCTCCTGGACACAGGTATCCAAATCCCAGGCCCTTGCTCAAATGTGTCAGTGTAAAATGTATATCCTGCAAAGTCAGGTGTGGACTCGGGTCACCGCACACTTCGGTGTCAGTTACAAAACAAAGAAAATAAAGAAAGAGGAAAAGAGTAAAGAAGGAAAATAAAAATATATATCCTGCGAAGTCAGGCGTGGACTCGGGCCACCGTACACTTCGGTGTCGTGGCTCCGGGCCACCGTACACTTTGGTGTCAGTTACAAAACAAAAGAAATAAAGAAAGAGGAAAAGAGTAAAGAAGGAAAAGATAAAGATATATCCTGCGAAGTCAGGCGTGGCTGAAGGCCACCGTACACTTCGGTGTCAGTTACAAAACAAAGAAAAAGAAAAAGAAAGAAAGAAAGAGAAAAAGAGTAAAGAAGAAAATAATATATATAGCCTGCGAAGTCAGGCGTGGCGGAAGGCCACCGTACACTTCGGTGTCGTAGCTTCGGGCTACCGTACACTTCGGTGTCGTGGACGTTGGGCCACCGTACACTTCGGTGTCAGTTACAAAACAAAACCGTTCGACCTTCGGGCGGCGTAGTCAAGCCCTAAGCCAGGCAGGCGACCCGCAGGTCGTTTTCAGATAAGACCGGCACTGATTTCGGCAGTCAGAGTCTCAGCATGACCCGTAAGCTCCGGCAGTGATTCCGGCCCAATGCCGCTTACATATGTTAATCTATTATCTTTCATTGCCAGATCACCACAGTCACCCCACAAGGTAAGCAACTCAGTTCATCTCAGTATTTCATACTTCACTGGTTTTGGGGATTTCATCGGAGCAGTTCTTTCCCTCCTGAATGATTATCCTGTAAACCGGGGCCTAATCGCCAAACACCATTACATTCTCCTGTTGTATTATCATGGCAATCATTTCATTCATATGACGTGTAAACAATAAATATGTAATTCTTACATCACGTCTCTCCGGTTTGAAATGAAAGCTTTAGCGCAAGTTCAATAAGGAAGACCTAACACGAGTCACTTACACGTCACTCTATGGCTCCCTTCCCCCCTCATTAAATACGAGGGCGTCACCCCTCAGCAGCCAATCGCTGCACTTGCTAAATTCCTTAAATGCCTGCTCTTCCTCCCTGTCAGTTGTCATTGCAGATGATCACACGCAACCCGCCTCCACCCCTCTCGCCTCCTGTCTCCTTCAGGACAAAGCTAAACCTTCCTCCTTCAGACCGGTCTCACCTACTCATCACCACCACCAGTGTCTAGACTCCGGGGATTTCATCGGAGCGGTTCTTTCCCTCCTGAATGACTATCCTGCAAACCGGGGCCTAATCGCCAAACACCATTACATTCTCCTGTTGTATTATCATGGCAATCATTTCATTCATATGACGTGTAAACAATAAATATGTAATTCTTACATCACATCTCTCCGGTTTGAACTCTAAATGTGAGGCAATGGTTCTCAGCAGAAAAAACAATGGTCGGTTAACTCAGAGTAGGGAACGAGTCCTTACCCCAAGTTAAGGAGTTTAGGTATATCTGGGAGTCTTGATCTTGTGTGAGGTGACAATGGAGCATGAGATGAACCAGAGAATCG